TTAGTTCCTTTTTTCTACACCAGAGGGCGCTGACTCGACGTCGAAAATTTAGTTCACATTTTTGCCGCTAGAGGGCCAAAATTGGTGCAAGGTTTAGTTCCTTTTTCCAAAACCAGATGGCGCTGATTCGACACCGAAAATTTAGTTCACATTTTTGCCGCTAGAGGGCCAAAATTGGTGCAAGGTTTAGTTCCTTTTTCCAAAACCAGATGGCGCTGATTCGACATCGAAAATTTAGTTCACATTTTTGCCGCTAGAGGGCCAAAATTGGTGCAAGGTTTAGTTCCTTTTTCCGAAACCAGATGGCGCTGATTCGACATCGAAAATTTAGTTCACATTTTTGCCGCTAGAGGGCCAAAATTGGTGCAAGGTTTAGTTCCTTTTTCCGAAACCAGATGGCGCTGATTCGACATCGAAAATTTAGTTCACATTTTTGCCGCTAGAGGGCCAAAATTGATGCAAGGTTTAGTTCCTTTTTCCGAAACCAGATGGCGCTGATTCAACATCGAAAATTTAGTTCACATTTTTGCCGATAGAGGGCTTAAATTTTTGCAAAATTAGGTCGGATGTAAAGGATACAAAGATGTAAAGGATGCAAGGATATAAAGGAAGCAAGGATGTAAAGGATGCAAGGATGTAAAGGATGCAAGGATGTAAAGGATACAAGGATGTAAAGGATGCAAGGATGTAAAGGATGCAAGGATGTAAAGGATGCAAGGATGTAAAGGGTACAAGGATGTAAAGGATGCAAGGATGTAAAGGATGCAAGGATGTAAAGGATGCAAGGATGTAAAGGATGCAAGGATGTAAAGGATGCAAAGATGTAAAAGATGCAAGGATGTAAGGAAATCAGTGTTTGCAGATTGTTTTTTTTTTTTTTTGTTTAACGTGGGGAAATCTTGCATAAGACCCCCCACCGTCCCCTGGGGGAGGGCGGCGGGGGAGTGTCAGATTCCTACTGACTAAAACCCCACGGCGACCGAGACTGGCGCTAAAGGGGGGCTCTGGGATTTTATATATGTTACCCTGGAGCCCCCCACGCCTGGCACACATGTGCTTATATCGGGGGAGATCCAAATTGAGATCTCCCCCTGTTGCCTACCTGTGACCGACACCGGGGGTCGCACCCGGTACCGGCTTCTCCTCGAGCCGCGTACTTACAAAGGCACCCGGAGCCCCCACTCCGGATGCCAACAGCCCTGACGGCCCCACCTATTTTGGTGGTGAAACCGTCATATATCGTGTTGAGGGAATGGCTTGTAAAAATAGAAGACAATATGTAAATGAAAATATATTTTAAAAAGTATTATGGAGGTTTATTTATTAAATATAATTAAATTCGTTTGAATTATTGCAATTTTTTATTTGTTTACGTGTTCAATGGGTATAAATATTAATTAATTTGTCCATAAAAACATTACAGTAACTTCTTAATTATTACGAGAAAAGTACACAGTTATATTTACACCATTAATTATAATTATTATACTTAGAAAGATGTGTTATGTACTTATATTACATATGTATAATTGGACAGTGGGCTAATAGAGGTGTCAGTCGCGAAATAAAATTACAAGGAACACAGTAATGGCAGTGTTAGAAAAAGTTTGAGTAATTTCTTATTAGAAAAATAAGATTTCAGACCCAAATATCATGCAAAATATTATAATAATATCTGTAAGACTTTTTAAATTATTTGTTTGTTTCCGTTTGTATTAATAATAATACAATAATTTTACATTCAAAATTCTGAACAAGATAATACTGTTCCATTTGCTTACATTGGAATGGAACATTTTATTTCTTCTTCATAAATTATCACTCTTTTTTAATTAAAATGAAACTAACAATTGATATTAATTATCAATTGCTAGTTTTAATTGTATTAACTACTACTTGATCAATTAATGAATTAATTTTGATGTAAGAAAGCTGTTACATTACTACAGTCAAGAGCTTGATGAAAGGTTCATGTACGTTTTCAACAAATCAATTTTTTTTCAGTTTTCACATTTACACTGATACGTTGTTAAACTAATCTACATTATTAACAGTATGCTATGCCCATCGAGAATTCATACATGAAAAGCGTCGACAGTAATTAGTGCTATTGAAGACTTTATACAAATTTATTGTACACTCTATTGATTGAAAGAAATTGTTCACAAATTTATGTATTATGATATCATTTGTTCAAATAAATACAAAATTGTTTCGAAAATCTTTGTGTATTATAATGCATACTTTATTTAAAAATAATTTATGTGCCATTCAGAAATATTTCATTACATCGTTTCTTGTAAAAACTGGCTACACATTATTTAATGTGTATAAATTACACATTATTAAAATAACTTTAAATAATCGTTTGGCACGACAATTTATTAGCTATAATAAATGTTGATTCTACTACACGTACAATTACACAATTCTTCAAAATTATGCTATAAATGTAATCGACAATTCGATACCATCATTTCTTTCTCCATTTTATTTATATTGGTCAAGCTGTTAATTAAACTGTTTCCTTTGCACCTTTTTTAAAATCGACTGTACAATATTTACAAGATTTTGACAATTTCTTTTTTCTTTCTTTCCCTAGTATCTGCCACAGTTTATAAAAATAAAATTGTAGAATTTTACTTGACCAAAAACTTAAAAAGGAAACGAAAAATTAATTTAGATACTTAATCATCCACATAAAATTAAGTGAAAAAGAAGAATCATTAATTTTGTCAGAAATAAAACAAACAACAGAGGAAAGAAATTTGTAAACGATATTTTTATTACAATAAAAATTCAATGAAAAAGAAAATATAAAGCGTATGAAAACGACGTCGCATTGTTTCTCAATCGAGGAAACATCGTATATAATCAATCATCATTAATATTACGAGTGTACTTTCATCAGAATATCTTGTATACATCATTATATCACTTAAAATCTCCATAAACCAATAATTTTACAAGGGATGCCTTATCATTGATTTTTCAACAAATTCAGCCAAGCATGTCATATAACATGTACTTTCCTTTTTAATTAATACTTGTTGCAACTCGTAATGAGATTTATATATTGAGAAACGCAGAACACGATATGAACACATAGAAGGCTGTGAAATGTAAATTTGTTTCCATCGAAACGATCACTTGGTTACAGTAATGTCTACAGTAATGTCTGCTTAAAACATTGTATAATAATAATTAATATTAATATGTTGTCACAGTGAGAATGGACATTTGTTATAAGGTATATTTGTAGAGAAATATTGTTAATTCTCAAATTTCAAATTTCAACGCCATTAATTCAGAAGGAACCATTTTGAGAGTTGTTACTTTGTAACTCCATTTTGTAATACTTAAGCAGCCATTACTGTACAATTATCACGAGTATAACCTCAAAAAACACAGTAATAAGGAATCTAATCACATCATGCGATATGCTTTGTGTCATAAAATATAGTTTTCTTAATTTCAATCAAGTTTTCATCTTTTAATAAAATAGCAGAGCACGGTGGTCAACACGTTACAAAAAAGGTTACAATAGGTCGTGGCTCGAACAAACGCTTCGAACCAATTAAACATAATCTACATAATATCTAATGCAAGCATACAGTAAATACTTATATTCTTGTCACGTGATCCGTATATTCTTTCTCGAAGTGGAGGATATCGGATCAGGTTAGCAAATTAAGTTAATAGAACGATATGAAGTTCAGGCTCGTTGGATTCAGCAGAGTTTTTGGGACATATCTACTGTGTGGTGCTGGAACAACTGATACGGAAAACTACCTAAGTGTTACACTCACTTATTAATGAAACTTTGCCAGCTTGTAGAGCTCGTCGAGCTGAACACGCCTATACCCCCTTTTGGGGATAGACGGCTAATTGTTTAAAAGATATTAACAATTACAGTTAGTTACTCTTTACATTCTGAAGTATGACAAACTTACACATACAACTCGCAATCTAGAGATCCACGGTTCAAATCCTTGGTTCCCAACATTTTTTTTATTTTTTAATGATAATTTGTCCCTTTTTGAATAATTGTTACATAAAAATTATCATAAAAAAACAAAAAAAAATTTTTGGGAACCAGGGATTTGAACCGAGGACCTTCAGATTGCGAGTCATGGATCCGCTCCGTGGTTAGACACATGACTCGCAATCTAAAGGTCCCCGGTTCAAATCCTCGGTTCCCATTTTTTTTTTTTTTTTTTTTTTTTAATGATAATTTGTCTCTTTTTGAATAACTAAAATTCTATATAATTCTAAACTAAAATTCTATATTCTATTTTGACTAACTTTAATTATTAATATCTTTTAATTGTTAGGGGGTGCCCCTGACGGAAAGTAAAGTAATTATAATTACTAAACTGTGTCAAAATTATTAACATTGAAGTTTATAAATAAACAAAATAGGCTTTCTGCTGAATCCAATTAAAATTCAGGGCAGAAAATACAATCGTCAATTAACTTAATTTTTTTTTCTCACGTTTACTTAACATTGAATTGTCAACATCATAGTTATATGCAGTAAAAAAATCTTCTCGAAGTAGTTGAGTTGATTGAATCGATTAGTCTTGCAATTGTTAGTATAATACTAAAGAACTTATTTTTCCTTTTTTTTTAATGAGCATTGGAATCTCGATTTGTACAAATTCATTCATTTTTCTCTTTTAATAGAAATCTGACCATTTATGGTAACTAATTGATAGATAAAAATTCTCCTTTATCAAACTATCACAAATAATGAAACAATGGCAAATACGATTATGATAAACACCCTATTAGTACTATCGTCCACAAGTATAATTGCACTAATGAGAATTGTAAGAAATAATAATTAAAGTTACAAATTTCAGCAACTAAATGCAAATATATTTATAATAATTCTAGTACAAAATTTGTATTCATAGTCTATGTAAATCATCTAATTATTATTCTGATAAAACGAAAACTTGAATTTACAATATTTTCCTTCTATTTATTATTTTTTATTTTTGTAATTAAACTCATGGACATTAGCATTCATATTTGTATTTTTAATATTTTTTTATTTTTCACCATGATTCTGTGTTAACGATATATACACGTTCGTATAAAAATTACTTTAGGAAACATTGAGAAAATTAGGATGGAACGTATCCGTTGATGTTCTTTTTCTTTACAAAAGAACGTGTTTGCTGAAACTGAAAGCATTCCGCGGTCCAGCCGCTTTTCTGCTATCTTTACACTCTTATCATTATTATAGTTTGGACTCGATACTTGTAAGCTAATTTGAATGCAAATCAAACATCTCGGATATTCAGGGTTAAAACCTGAGATATCACCACCCAGACTCAAATCATCAAGAATTCAAAAACAATGTGTACCCAACTCACCACGTGCAACAGCATCCATCAAAGAGGGCGAACAATAGCAAGCATACAACTCAAAGTCGGATCATTAACGAGTCTCTCAGAAAGAGAATAGAATAGGACACTCCAAGAAGTCTATCCTGAATTTACAGTGTTCAAATAACACCGTGTCCACTTCTCTACACTGTGACCCGCTGCGCGACAGAAGTGGACCCGGGCTATAAATGGAGTGCTGACAAATTTCAATTTCATTTCAGTAAGGAACTTTCTTACCTAAAATAATTCAGATAGTGTTTCCAACCACAAACACACGAATCATGCTACTCGACATCGGTACAGCATCGAGCAAAGTAGGCTGTATATGAGGGTCCTCCTTCCATGCATCGTCACTTTCCTTGGGACCGCCCCCAGGGAGCCCAGGAAGGGGAAACCTCCGGAGTGGGGAGGCCTATGGGAATGCCAGGAACCCCAGAAGCTGGGAGGCCTATGAAAAGGGAGGCATCGCCACTTTTCCTAAAAAGCCTACTATGCTCGGTACTGTACATTTAGTGTAGAGGGCGCATTTAAAGGTGCATAACCTAAAAAATTGTTAGCCATACTGATATAGCGTTTGTCAGCCTTATAATTTAACACCTCCAAATACATATTTATATCAATTCCTTGAATTTGACAAAAAATAGATCAAAATCCTTTTAGAAAATTTTAGTATATCGTAATTTGCTTGCCAGAGTCCTGATGAAATTAAAAGCATCATCGAGTAGGCAGACTTGTGGTTTTGTGCTTGGAAACACTATCGAATTTCCCTACCGAAATGAGCCAGCTGTTAGATTACAGCGACAGACACCTGGCCCGTCGCTACAAAGTGAGGGGGAACGTGCCGGCGTGTAACTGAGGATCAATATACTCGAAGTGGTTCTCGCAACCGTTTTAACGATCAATTAGAGCAACGGAAAGTTATTGTGTACTTGCGTGTTATATGGCTTTGCTCTCCTCTGGTGAAGGCACCTAGAGGAGCTTTAGTGTGCGGTGAAGTTGGCCATGTTCACCGCGCCCCCACGACACATCATGTCGATCGATTTTAATGCATCGACACACTGTTCCTCATAAACCGAGTAGGCATTATTGTTTTCTTCCTCTATCGCGCGCATTATACGAACCTTAGTTCTAGTAAGGTTCAATGTAAATTTAGTCTTGTGGAGAATAATGTCAAACTTGACTTTGGGTGTAATCTTCTTTGGACTCTGAGTGATTCTGAAGGATATTGTGAGCTGCAGCTTGAAGGATTTATAGAAATACAATTTTTGGTTCATTACTAATATTATGTACACCTGGGTGCAATGTAGGCTTTCCTTGAGTAGATGTACCCAAGCGGGGGAAGCCTAAGTTGCACGTGACTGTACAGTGCTGAGCATTAATGTCTCCTAGTATGGTGGTAGAAAGATACATAATGAAATGATTTTCAAAAATTTAGAATTGATCTAATAAAAGAACAGTGTACATTTTTTTTAAATTGGAGCTCTCTCCATGGTCCGCCATCTGAAGATTAATAAATTTTTCTTATTTTAAACTTTGCAGTCCAATTATGTTTCTTATTTTTAGAAATAAATCTTTTCCTTCTCTGCAGCTCACGGTTTCAAAATAAATTGTAATTTCGTTCGAAAATACACATTTTCAATGGGATATAAAATTTTTCGTATTAAAATTCATCTCAAGTTATAAACCAGAGGAATAAAAACGTCAGTAGTTGTTTCCATATGATATGTCTGTTGAGAGTGGTTATTAAAAAGTTTCGATTTTTCATAAAATCTATCAATTTCATGAGTCATGGAAACCATTATGGATTTTCATAAAGTTATGGCAGTTGATAAAAGGGTAAAATCACGAGATCTTAGTCAAAGGTTCAAAGTTCCTTGGAAACGTTCGTACAGTTTCACGAAGTTGGTGAAAGCGCGCCATCTTGCAAATTAATTCTGCCTTGTCTTCGTTCTTCCATCTTGAATACTGCTACTCGGAATGGTGTCGATGCTTTAGTCGAAACTCTGGCTCTTCCTCGAGATCGACGAACTTTTTAGATCGATCAACGTGAACGATTAGCATCTATGATGATTAGATGCTAGACCGCCGTGGGGGCCCTGAATTGTCAATGCCACTTCGCCTTTTGTGCGAATATGTCGGCTCGCAGATTTTGCGCGAAGCAGATTCCCAGAATCTGGAAACAGCACGACAATTATATTATTTTTAAACCTGTTTAAAAGATTCAGAATACGATTGCATACATGAAGAACGAATAAATGGGAATAAAAAGAAAGAAATTACAGTAAAATCTGTCTATGCACTTTGGTTCAGTTTTGGGAAAACACAAAAGCCAAAGAGAAAAAAAGTTATAATATATCTGAATTGTCGAAGAAATTAGAAGTCTTATAACAAAAGTACTAAAAATTTCGTTTTTGGAATCAATTTTAATAGAAAGATATTAATTTACTTCAATATAATTAATTATTCCATGTTGAGTAATTAATTAATTGATGATTATTTACCCAATTATTTAAATATTCATACATCATATTACATATGCATATAGACAGAACTTACTGTAATTCAGAAACTGTTTACTCTTCATTAGCTTCATGCAGTAATTATTATAAAGCATTGTGAATGCATATATATGTACATGCTTTTATGCAATCCGTGTGACACGTACGATTTTTAAGTTCAGAGTGCGCATAATGCGCATGCGCAGGCGCAGGCGCAGCCGCAAGAGCGTCGACTACGAGAACCGCGCTTGAACGTGGTCGCGAACAAACTAAACGTGACGCCGGTCGTAGCCGACACTTGCCGAGTACGCATGCTACCCGCGCCCTGATTGGTCGATGCTTTTCATTAATAATTCAAAAACTAAGCCTTAACGAGCATTTTGGTAAAGGAAAAAGTTGTTCAGAATCACCCCAGCTACCACCCCCTCAAAGGATACCCACCCAAATATAAAATTATACAGCATATAATTTATAATAAAGATACTATTTAATAAACATAGAAACGTAATTATACCTGTGCAAATGCCGTACCAACTGCGCCAGTGGCAATTGAAAGAAGATTTCGTTGAACCCATTCCTCCCCAGCTTGAATACAACCTTTCTCATAAATCACTTTGGCAACCTCAAAGTTCTGTAAAACAAAGGCGATTGGCTACTTTCGCTTACCGATAGATTCTCCAGTCTTGCGACTACAGTTGTTAGTCCGACATGATTCGGTAGGAACAGCGTTAGATGAAGAGAAAAGTGGTGACTAAGAGAGAAACTAAAGGAGAGTATTTATTTTTAAGAATTTTATTTTTTTTATTTTATAGAAACATAATATCTATAGGGAAGTATAGGGAAGATCGAGAGATAAAATGGCACGCGTGGAATGGCTGCTTTAAGTAACAAGCCGACTCTATTACATTGTAGTTTCACATTTACCTCCTAAAGTGGAAGCAATCGTCTGAGGTTTTTACCTTCTACTTTCATCCTTCTACTCGATCCTAACGATAAAGTCTTCATCGATTTCACTGTTACTGTCTTCACTTTCATTTTATCAACAGCCTTTCTTCTTAATGTTTTTCTAATAAAAATGAGACAATTGTATCTTTGTATGTTTATTTAATTTTTAAGAAAATTTATTAATTTCAAAATGATTAAACATAATAAATATATGTCAAATACAAAATTAATTTATTATGGATAAACCGGTCCCACACTTTTGATCAGCAGTGTACATATGATATACAGTGTAAAGGAAAAAAAAAAAAGTGGAGCAGTACGAAGTAAACAGAGCTACTAAGATTTCATTAATATTTCATTCGAGGGTTCTCATAAATTAGTGCTATGCAGTGCGCTGTGAAAAGTGGAACGAAAAAAGAGAAATTCGCAAGAGAGTGGAAGCCGTCTGTATAAAACGTCACGTCAGTACAGCGCCTAAGTAACAAGCCCACTTTATTACACACTGCCTTACATTCACCCTCCCTACCAGTGTACGAAGTAACCACGCAAAGCTTTCAGTTTCCCTCCTCCATCTCGGTTCCCTTACTCTTACCCTCTGTCTAACTTTCCACCCCAGAACCCATTCCAACCGGCACTCTCATACCGTGGATTCCACTTCTATCGCGATACTGTGATGATGTTGCACGGTTCCCTCATTAGCAGAACGGTAGATGCCCGAATTACTTAAGAGTTTTCATTTAGAGGCTGATAGAGCCCCTGGAAACTGTTAATTTATATCTTACGTCTTAGAGACTTTGGTGGTGCATGCCAGAAGAACCTATTTACCATCGTTAACACCCCTTTTCTTACGCTGAAATTCTTCGAACAAAGCGTTCGAAATGGTAATGTACACTACTGAACAAATTATGTTTCCCTAAGAGAAATGGTGCCCATTCACTCTCATTAGGCCTCCGAGGTTTTTAAATTTTCCTATAGGGTTTTTAGGATTTTGGGGTTCTGAAATTTCTGGCCTTTATCATAGGCCTCCTCTTCCCTAGATTCCCACCTGTCCCCTTAGGCCCGAGGAGACTGATGATGTAGGGGAGGGGGCCCTGTGTATATAGGTTGTGGCCCCCCACCACTGGCGCAAGGGTGCCAAGGGAGCAATTACAATATGAGAAATTTATTCATCTGCCGTTTGCACACCGTAAAAGTCTCTTCAGACTTTTATTGTGCGAGTGAACGAAGGGAATGTAATCTCTAAACGTCACCATTATGCAGCCAAGTCACTGTAATTTATCGCGCTGATTACCAGACAGAGAAAACTCATTACGTCGCGTGTTTAGTTTCTATAAGCCGTGCATTTATCACGTGGAGCTAACTATGGATGCTTGGAATGACTTTTGAAACCATTACAGTGCACTGATTGACACGAACATTAGGGGACCTATTTTTTCAAGTAAATTTCAGGGAACAAGAATATTTAGATTGCATGGTCCGAGGGTGAATTAACCTACTCTTGGATGACTTTATTTTTCATTTTGTAGAGAAATATTTTACTGTTTTAGAAATTTATTTAAATAACAAAATTATATAATGTCTCTATGGAAGAGAATAAATGGAAGGCTTGCAATGGGTCTCCTGAAAAATGAAGTTTAGGGTTACAACCCCTCTTAGACTTTCCCTTAATCCGTCACTGATTCTAATAAATTCTGAGCTCATTTCGAAAACCATTGAATTAATAGAAATTCGAAAATCAGGTTATACTTACCATTTGAACTATGAATATAGAATGAGCCATTTATTAGTATTCGTGCTTGTTAAGATGTTCAATTCTCGTAAGTACTTACTTGTATCTACGCAGCCAGTCGTATATAATCACATTCATTTGTTTAAATTAAATACTGATTACATATACAGTTACGATAGCATGTACCATTAAAAAGAAATATGCTTCAAGCAAATCAAACAAGTAGAAGTGGATAATAAATATACTGAAAACAGACGTACATCCACTTTACGCTTACATGCGACATTGTGTGTGCAATCGATTGCTTCTAATTAACCCTTTAACGCATTTGATTCAGATTTTTTTATGCAAAACATTAACATATTTGTTTCTTTTGTTTCATATTATTTTATGAAAATACGTTGGTTCAATTTAAGGAAAAATATTTATGAAAATTCTGAAAATGATATTGGAAATTTTAATTTGATAAATTTAGGGAAGAATGTTTGCAAAATTACGAAAAATATTATTGGAAATGTCAATTTTATAAAAGTGAGGGAGAATATTTACAAAATTATGAGAAATGATAATATTGGGGAATATTTGTCTTCTTCAAAAATGTCTTGTTTAATTTGACAATGAAATTAAATATGTAGCATGCTCGCTTGTTGCGTTAAAGGGTTAAAAATTCATCATTTAGGGAAGTTAAAACCTTCTCGTAACGCTCTTTCGCGTGTTAAATGGTGCTTTTTTCCCGGACGCTGTTGCAGACAGTATAACTTGCGTCGCGTGCCTCGAAGCAAACTAATGTTCGCTGTTAAACTAGTTTGACATCGGTCGATTGTTCTAGTGTACTCTATAAACCTTTTCCTCAACTGCCTTTTTTTCGTGTATACAAAAATTACTTCCTTAGAATTTTTTTATAATTTATAGCAATTTAAAAAAAAATAAACTATATTCAATTGAAATAAACATTAATAAATTTATTACAAATTTTTAATTTTTAAACTCGATCAACGTCAATCAAATCATTTAGAAAAATCACCATAGGACGAGAAAATTTGAACCTTCAATTAAATACAGAGGGGGCCAAACTGTGCCCCGAAGCCCTGGGACACAATTGCTAGTCTCACCTTTATCCCAAAACTAGGCAATTACAAAAATTTCAACATAGGTGCAAAAATTTTACTCTAGTGGAGATACCGTTTCAACGTGTTCTGTTAGGTACGGGTAGATTTACCATCACCAGGGGAATCTACCCACAACAGAGTACAGTATATGGGGCTACATCTGTTATCCCAGATTCGAAGGTGTTAAGTAATTTGTAGTACACAGCCTGGAGAGATAAACCCTCGGTCCCAGGACAGAAATTTTTGGCCACCTCTGAGTTAGTATGATCGAGAGCACGTTTCAATAGGGATGTACCTGTAGAACCATAGTGCTGACAACGGTACCAGCGACAGGTACGAGATTCAATTCTAGCCACTCTTCGCCCGCCCTTAGACAACCTCTCTCGTATATACTCCTCTCTCCTGTCTGCATTCCCCGGGGATACAGAAACAGAAATGATTTAGAAAAATCGCCCGGAAATGTTCTCGTCTCGTGGTTTAGGATCGCGTTGTCGTGCCTGCAGTGTGCCGATAACGTGGGCAAACATAGGGTCACTTATGTGTATAATTATCGTTAACGAAACCTTTAACCTTTCCATTTCGAACGAACTTCTTTTTGTTATACAGTAGAAGAAGGTATTAAGCGATAATGATCTGACGATGAAAATGTAATTAGCGCGAACCGATTCCCTGACCGAAGAGTTTGCGGTCCTAAACTCATTACCCGTGACGTACCTACTTCTGAAATAGCAACGGAAGATCCTTTATCCCCTCGTTTTCTCTCTAATTAAGCTCCACGCTCTTTTTTTTCAAGCCGATCGTTTTTACTGGTAGACTCGTTGTGTAATCAGACCAGCTGTACGTTCCTGTTAGTGTTCCTCAAAGATAAAAATCGTTCGCGTTCTTTTCTGCCTTTGCTTTTACTCTTATTCTTGGAGCTGTCGTTTCAGAGAATTTGCAGAACGAATACTATTGATGAGAGTCGGGCGTTGTTCGAATAACATTTTTTTATTTATGAATATACCCAAATTCGAATGTGAGAAATTGCCAGTTAGTAAATAAAATACAGAATGGATAGAAATAAAAAGAAAAATGAAAATATGATTATGTAGTTTGTTAGTTGGTGGTTAAAGAAATTTGGAGACTTGCAAACACGACAAGTAGGGGTCTGGATGGTATTTTGAAAGGCACAGTATAAAATTGTAGAAGGTACTTACGTAGCTAGGCTTCCTAACATCGTAACCACACTGTTTGTTCTTAATAATTTCCTGAAAATGTTAAAAGTGATATTTTGTTATTTATGAAATAATTAATTCGCATGCAATTAATTTGGAAAATATACATTGTAATATCCAAGTAATTAAATATGAAATTGAAAAATTACATTTGGCTTTCGTTTACAACAGCTAAAAGGCACGCCGCACGCTTCCCTCGAGCCAATATCGCTCGACGAACAATTGAAATAATTATTGCGATCCCAGTCTTTGGGGCCCTCGATGCCACAGCACTGCAACTGTAAAAATCAAATTTTTATTTTCTTCTCGATTTTATGCCACGATAAATTTGTTTTATTGCCACAAACTCTTTAACCGGTCTATTTTATTTTTCCTGTTGCCTGTCAAAGAATATCAAAACACAATAACCGGGTCGTAAAAGCTTCTAAAGTATTGAAAATGTTTATCTATTTTGCAAAAATATTGCACGCCATTCGTGAAGAAACGACCACAATCGTACTTCCAACGAGAGCAATGGTTGCGTATGAATTCCAAACGCGATCATAAATAATTTCATAACCGCCGGATCGAGACGGGACGATATTAAATATGCGATTTTATAGTGAGAGAAAAAGGTGAAGTGGAGGAGAACAAAGGGTCACAGGAGACGATGTGCGGAGACGAAGTCAAAAGGAATCTCGCGATGAGAAACGAACGAACCTGATATTAAAAACAGAAGTAAAAAGGAGGGAAGAATAGGAGAATCAGACATCAGATATTTCTATAGCAAAATACTAAGACCTTTGTTAAACTCCATTGTCTAAGAAAAGTTGCCTGAATTTTATAAATTATATTTTCAATTTAACGCTAATTAGATATTTTCTGCGAAGATTATATTTTTATGATAAAAAGTCTCTCGACAAATTAATTACATTAAATTTTGATCCAATGTCCCATCAAGTACAATCGTTTAGTAGATAAAGCTAGCGTGTGCTAAACAAAGCACCAATCAATATCGCGTTTCTCTCGCGTGGCACAAAGTCGAAGTACTAAGCATTTCATTAACCATCTATAAATGAAAGCGAGCGAGTCCCGAGGGTTTGGCCAGTGCACACTGTAGAGAGATGGTGCTGCAACTGAACTGATAGGATTGCCGGAATTGCGGCAGCATGCCGGCGTTTCTATTGAAATCTCGTAAACCACAATTGATTGGCAAACCATCGATTAACGATTTCTACGAAGGCACTGATAGTTGAGTACTCGATGTTTGTCACCATCAAATGTTATAAATAAATATAGCTTGAAATAATTGTACGATACATACCCAATCTTCTTGAATCCAATCAATAAGATTCTGTTGATCAGGGTCTTCCCTGTAGTGAATGATAAATGCTTGGAAGCCACCAGTAGCTTGTGACTTTATCTGTACAGTCGAATTGTAATATTATTTTTAGTTGAGCTTTACTTTGGGGCACATTAAATTATTAACCCTTTTTCAACGGATGTGTTCCTAGAATTGAAACTGGTATTTTTGAATATTTCTTAAATATAAAAAAAGAAATCAATAATTTATGTGCCCCAAAATAAAGTTTCATTTTTATACTATATTTAATGATTGCATTATACAGGGTGGTTCATTTATTAGGACCACTTTAACACCCTTGAATCTGGGATTAAAAAGACAATATACAGTAAAAATAATTGGCAACAAAATATTTGATAAAATGGCTTTTGTAAGAAAATATAAAGGTTATTTGCTAAGGTAATTCGGTTGCTTGTCATCGCAGCAGAACTATTAAGCTCGGTAACTTGAAGCCATTTCAAACTGAGAACAAGAAATTATTCTCATATCCAGTCTCAGCTCGCTGAGATTTTCATTTCCAGAGTGATGCGACGGGCTTTACAAATAAGGGCAGAATTAAACGCTTCCTGTACTTCTGTTTGTCCCTTAATTTATTCCCGAGGTCTGAGAGCTCATTAAATTTATTCTTTGCAAACGGACGACGCGAGACAAAGGAATAATGGTATTGCAAGTAAATGCGTTTCTTTGCATTCGAACAAATTGCGATTGAAGTACGGAACGTTGTCTTAGGCGAATTAATTATGGAACTAATTCTAGAAGGTCCGAAAACTGCGAAATTCTTTTCAATTTAAATTCTATTATTCTCTACTAAATTCTGTTAACTTTTTATATGGAAAAAACATAATTAAATGTTCATTTTTTAATGGACCATCCTGTACATTCTACAATTCCTTTAAATTAATTAATATATTCCTATTGAAACGTACCCAGTCTTTAAAGACGAAGCCTAACACACCGACCGCTATCTCCATTAGTAGCAGTAGGGCCAGGAATATCGCATACTGTAATAAATTCGCACAAAAGAACACTTTAATTAACTTCAATTTCACAAGTGATGATATATACGGACATCTAGCTAGAAAAAGGTTTTCATAATTAAACCGGACAAAAATTATGAAAGCAAAATGAAACGTGCACCAAGGTACTTTAATAATATACAGGATGTTTCAAAAGACCTGTATACGTGAAATTTAATTTAGCATCTAACGAAATCAAACTTCAGTTAAGGATCGAAGTTTTTGGAAATTATTTACTAATTATGGGAAACTATGAAAATTTGATGATCTAAGTACTCACCGCAGCTAGGAGGCACGTATTTTCCCTGAGTGCACCTACACACCCGGTAAATCCGATGATAAATGTCACTGTACCTGCAATAAAACAAGGAGAAACGTGATTCCGACGGAAGTACTCTATTTTCTCGATCGAAAACAGAAGGTGTAAGATGTTACGGAAGATGTATTAGCTTGGCAACGAAATTCCCGACCTCTCCCCATATTTCTTCAAAATTGCCTAAATTCTAACTTATGGGGGTTGAAAAATTACCAACAAATATTGTAGAAGATTATTGATTCCAACGAAGCTCGTTTTATTTGAAAATTCTTATTTGTTAAATTTTAATCAATGATTTGATGAAGAAAAAAACGTACCGAATTAAGGGGAGGTCTAAGGTTTCAAGAATTCTTCCTTCCCCTATATCGCCATTTTCCTTATAAAAACCTGATCTGATCGCGAGTGTACATACACGCATCGAATCGAATCGGCGACAGAAAGTTTGCTACGTCGAAATTACTTTACGGTCGCAGTAATAAAACTGCATAAAAATTCAGAGCTATCGTTTGATCTCGATATGCGACGTGAGAATATGAAGGCAACTCAAACACCAATATTCAGTGAGTTTGATCGTCCAAGTAAAGTAAAAGGTCAAAGTGGATTTCGGATAGTGAAATATTTTTGGAATTTTTCTGAAAATCAGGACGTTGAAGTGACGATTGAACTGTATTGCTACTAGCCACCCTAAAAATTTCAGAAATTAATGTCAAACATAAAATATCTTTAGCGATACAATTTAGGCTCGACGAGGAAACAACGAGGGTAGTTCCCCTCGTCGGACACGAGAAAATCCAGTTGTCTGGGGTTCGAAGGTCCGCGCGAAACGAATTGCTTTCCCGTCGGTAGTACGAGTCAAACGAAACGTGGTTATCCGCAAATCGAACCTCGAAAAGCCGGCCCTTCAGAGGCTCGTTCTTTTGCCAGCTAAGGGCCAGATCACGTGCAAATTCGATTTGATCGGTGCGCGTTTTCAGCAAACGGTACCCTGTGGCTGAATGTTTGAATTGGTCTCCGGACATTCCTCAGCCTCCACCCTTACGTTCCACTAGACTGTGGTCGACCGGTCACTAGAACGGCTTTCTGCGGTATGCTCCTTGTAATCCTTCTGTACATCCCGGGTAATCCAAGTTACAGCGAGCTTTGCAAAGTTTACAATGTCATCTTATCGATAATAGGTACCGTACCGTGAATAGATGAAAAATGCGACGGAAAATCCATTGAGATTAACAGTAGCCACGCGATAATTTGTAAATGGGCCTTTTTAAAAATGGCACTACTGTACAATAGGGGGCATGGAGCTGCAGGCAATTGGAAAAAATTTACTTGGAAGGAACTGGGGTCTGATTGGTATATTCTCATACAAATGGCTAAAGACTGTACATCCCGGGTAATCCAAGTTACAGCGAGCTTTGCAAAGTTTACAATGTCATCTTATCGATAATAGGTACCGTACCGTGAATAGATGAAAAATGCGACGGAAAATGCATTGAAATTAACAGTAGCCACGCGATAATTTGTAAATGGGCCTTTTTAAAAATGGCACTACTGTACAATAGGGGGCATGGAGCTGCAGGCAATTGGAAAAAATTTACTTGGAAGGAACTTGGGTCTGATTGGTATATTCTCATACAAATGGCTAAAGAATTCTTGACATAATAATATGAAAAAAGAAGAAACAGAAATTTTGTCACTTACCGACTAGAATGAGAATAAATGCTGGGTCGAGGGCGACGTTTGTGAGGCGGGATAAATTATTAAATGTGTCCTTTTCGGTCCATGCCCAGACACCCACAGCCATAATGCCCAAACCCAGCCACTGAAACAGAAAGAAAGTGAGGTCAGAATTGAATAAAATTGTAGAGTATAAAAATGAGAGAATTCTGTGGAAAAATATTATATTAAATTATACCTACATATACGTTGAATAATTGTATCCCCAAGCAAAATATTAAAAAAAATATTAACAAATTTTAAATTAATAAATAAAAATTAAAGATATTTTCATAAATTTTGATAATCTATTTTCATTTTTAATGAAAATGTCAATGATCACTCTATTGACGGTAACTTATGTTTAAGCATTTTTGGTTTTTGCACTCTTACTTCGGTTAGTAATCAATACACCGTCGGCGTCCGCATGCGTCTAGACGTGTTTACTCTATTCGGTGCTATTACGATGCACCGAGAGTTTCATTCTGCTCGATTGATGCAAAAAACGTTTGCATTAGCTCAATTAGTATGCATTTAAAAGGCACTAACGCGAGATTGAAGAGAGCGTGGAATATCAAAGGCGATCATTTTTGTATTTCAATTGCTAATTTTATACAATAAATACTTCAAAAAATAGAAAAATATTAAAGCACTATGATAACTCCATCATCATTTATAATTCTAAACTTAAAAATTTTTTAATTTTGTAAAATTTATTAATTTTCAATAATTAATAACATACATATTCACTATATAACAGTAAAATAATTTACATGCATTAACAATGATCAACCAAATCATTTAGGAAGCAATTAATCACGGTTGCAATGTTAGATAATGAGATATGAACGCGAAATATGAAAAATGACACATATCTGATTAACCGTTCGTTGAATAATAATTTTCATACGTGCTGTGTCATATTATAATAATTTATGGGGATACTTCATTTACAAGGGTTAAAAGTAGGTCAGAGGGTCACAATTGCTCGTTATAAAACTTTTGCTTTTATAGAAACGAATGCCAAGCTTTTTTTCATTTGAACGTGAAATCCATAAGATAGAGCTTGTAACGAGCGACTGAAAAAGAAAGATGTACGTGTTGAATGAAACAAGGCCAGGTGAAAGAGGTTTATTCATTTAGTTTATTCATTTCTTTTTTTTTATGGTTGTTTTTATGCAGAATGAAATGAATAGAGATTCCATATTTAATACATTCATTAATATTAAAAATTCTTTAATAATATTAATTAAATTTTAAATAAATTCTAAGTCTCATCTGCTTTGTGACTAAAATAATAAAAAATTTTAATTAATTTTCATACGTAATTAGCAATTTTACTTCAGTTTTGATTAAAATACTAAAATACCATTACTGAAGAATTTATTAAATGTAACATTTTGATTTTTTGTACTTTATATTGTTATTTTGAATGGAATTTGAGAAATTCAAAGGGACAGGAAGTAAATAATACTGAATGAAGAGAATTCGGATGAAAAATATCCGGCAAGGATGGATCAATGCGGGGTTAAAAATGAAACGTGTGAAACTGAAAAAGCAACGCGTTTGAATAATATTTACAATTGATTGGACGCAAAAATCAGTCTGCGAGAGAAGCAAATTGTTTGCTCACATACCGATCAATCTGTTCCTCGGTCTCCTATTTTAATTGATTTCAAATTAATTTATTCCAACGCGGCCGAACCAATTCGACTCGTTCATCCATAACATTTCAGGATGAATTATTCAAGCGTTTTCACGTGATTTTAATACGTTTTAATTAATACACGATAACAGATCCGTGAAACGATAAAATGAACCTTACCGAGCGAATTTCGTGCGAATTAATACTGTCAGAGGTATTGTGCGATAGTGTCAACTCGCGTCACTCGTTATTCTTCTCAAGGTAGAAAGGAAACCAGAGAAATTACAGTAGGATCTAAATCACTGAATCTCAAATTTGTATATTTACAACATTGATATTCATAAATTTCCATATTTTCCAATTTCTTAAATTCAATACTTTTCCATGAATAAAGTAATCCTACACTATTCTGAAGCAACACAGAATGTATTATAAAATGACAAAACCGTCGTCGGTATAGAAAGTTTCGAGTGTTAACCTGGACATCGAAATCGTTTTCACGGTAGCGACGCCGTCGGTGAGGTGAATGGAGGCAAGTACGGGCAGGGGTGGATTCAGACAACAAGTCGGAAACTTTCAAGCTCAATTAAACTCAAACAAACTTGGAAACGCCTCGCGGCAATAAGAGCGGATGAAGTGCCCTTTCAGTTGGCTGTCCGGTTCATTCGGTGCCAATTCTTTGATAAAAACATGATAGACGATGAGCGATGGGTAGGAAGAGTCATTGTTCGACCGAGAAGCTCTTTGACTTATTCCTTGATTATTGTCTTCGAACTAATTTGCGATCCTGAACAAACGCGAGATTTCACTGTTGGGTGAAATAAAAGTTCCTCGGGGTAAAATATTTCATTTCAATGCAGTGAAGCTTCAGGTTCGTGGTAATTGGTTTCCAAATTACCAAGTATAAATTTCATATTAATAAATAAATCATTAATATAAAATTGTAATAAGAAATATAGTAACAATATTTATTTTAAACAAATATTCTATTGTCCTCGGTAAATTAGATAAATTTCATTTTCCTTTCTCTTCCTTTTTCTCATTTCACAAATATGGTACCCGATTATGCGATAACGGAAATCGCGGCCATTTTAATTCGCCGCCATATTGGAACGCGAAGATTCTCGGATAACCTCCAATTTCCATAAATGCAATTCCGTGAATTCTTTAGCTTAATCGAAATACCAGAACACGTAACACTTTCAGAATTTTTTCATTAAAGTTTCGCTGATTATGTAAACCCTTTCTCAAGGAAAAGTGGTTATATTTGCCACAATTAAAAACTATTGTTGCCAACAATTTATGATAATAAATTTATAATTATTTAACGATTTTCATTTTTACTTAAAAATTACCGAGTTCTCATCATCAAACGAAACTGCGAACAACATCATCTTCAGCAAATTATTAGATAAGGTAAAATTGTTTGCTCGAAAATACGAGGGAAGCACTCACGGTTCAGTGAACGTATTCATATTCCATGAATTCTGGAATAGTCCAGTGTCTGTTGTGTAATTACTCTCTCCTCTGGTCGGCTACCATTCGTGTTTAAACTTTCACCCTCCGGCGTATCCGTCAGGGTGGGCTACTTTTTCAATTATTCAAATGGGATGGACCCGTGGGGTTAACACGATGTAGGAGCAAGGAGAGCCGACTATCTGCAGAAAAATCTTTTTCCGCGAAAGGTCGCGATGATACCAGATTGAATTAAAGAAATGAATAGTTAACGAAGTACCTGTAGAATCCACCGAGCGGGGCTTAACTGGGCCAATTCTTATTATAAATTGTAACTTCTCCTTGACATTAATTTTTAGCATGCTTGATTGAAAATTATACGATCAAAGCGTTCTCTGTCGAACAGTTAAATACAGTATAGACTCTCGTTATATTGCCATGTCAGCGATTTGACGTTCACATTCCATCATCATAGTTTATGAAAATTATACACTTTTACGTTCTTTTCTCCTTTCAAACGAGAGCTTTGAAGTTTGACAAATTTCCCGGTTCTACAGATCCGTCAGTGGCAATATAACGAGAGTCTACTGCATGTTGTAATAGCTCGCTCAAATAGTTTAACTTTCAAATATTCTGTACATAGGTATTTCAAAATAGTTTCATATTACGAGAACTGCACGAACATTATTCGAAATGTGCAAAACTTCATACTCGGCTAATTAGTGGAGAATTGAAACAAATTGCTGAAGCGTTGAAAGGAGAAAAATTGAATTTTGTTTTTTTTTTTAATTTCAAAAATGTTTCATTAAATGTTTGCAAGGATGTAAAGTATATTGTTATAAAAATACTATTATTTTATACTGGGAGGTTGGACTAAATATTTTGAACGATTCTGATCACGAGTTCGGCATACGTTTGCCAATTCTGCGAATACACAATAATTGTCGCCCGTATTCCTATGATGTTTTACGATAAACGTGCGAAATAGAGGTAATACTTTATTTTACTATCACGTACCAGGTACGCGAGGTGGCTCGCAATTCGGGACGCCCACCAATAACCGCATATTTATCGGCAATAGTTGATAATCGCTATTGCACTTGCCGTAAACTGGCCGATATTATTCATATACCATGCGGTGCAAAAGTGGAATATTTGATTAACATTAGCTTCAATTATTCGTGGATATAAATTGAACAATGAAAGCCATAGTTAATAAAAAAAAGAAACTTAATAACTTTAAGGAATTCCTTAGGGAGAACAATTGTGCACAATAATGTACAATGGATAGTTTAACTGAAGTAGACAGGTTGAAAAATGAAAACACAGAAAGAAATGAAAAATAAGATTGATCACAAAGTATGATGAATTGATACACGTAATCGTTTACACGACTCCCATTGATCATCATTTCATTGGTGCTATTAAATATAATGTCAGGGTACATATATCGAAATTTCAACTAGAAAATTCAAAACAATCTGTCAGATTGGAAACAAAAATATAATCATAACTCGTGACAGATATCTGATAGGGTATCAATATTGTTTTTTCTTTCCTTTTAATCGGAAAGTAACGAACGAATTGATCGACTTTGTTCATTTATTTTAATACTGCCGCACGCGTACGCCGGAAATTGTTTAAAAAGCAATAAACTCGCTTTATGGTTTTCAGCCCGCGTATAAAAGCAACGAGTGCAGCTCGGCGATAAATGATTCTGGAACGAGTGCTAGGAAGAGTAATATAAAGGGAATGCACCAGAGGCGTTCAATCGTTTTATTTTCCTCCTCGATTTCATCGTCCTACTGTTCGAACATCGTTGAAACTTCTTTCTGAATCAACGTACTATAAAAGCAAACCCTTATACTTATATTAAAAAAAAAGAAAGTATCCTTATACAAAAAAAATTGTAACCATAATAAAAAGTACAGAAGAGAGCACCAATTTTAATGCAATTTTGGCTCCACTGTTCGAAGATTAAATATTGATGAAAAAAAAATCTTCAG